TAAACTGCATGGTTCTTCTCTTAGAAGAAAGTAAAATCTGATCTGTTTTGTGCACATAGTTTTATGCATCCAGCAGTGGGATGTTCCACATCCAGCCGATGTACCTCATTGGCTCTGTAATATCCTGGTTTATGAACTTGGTTCTCTTATGACTTTGGCTCATATATTACCGCCATGACACAGCTGCTCCTTGGTGTTGGTTGGCATCAGCTCACCAGCCGGCCCCAGAGCTCGGGGGACAATCTTAGCTCAGCGAAAAAACCTCCATCAGAGCCAGCGGTTCTTCACACACGGCTATGCCAAGAGAGGGCTGCTGCAGCTAATGTTAGACCTGACTGCGGTTAACATCGGAGGTCCGCCTGTTGCCACGGTTCTCTCAACATAAGAACTTTTTTTAAATTACGCACTAAATCAGTAAATGGGCCATATAGTGATGCTTAGAAGTATATTTTCTCGCCTCAAATTATCTTAAAATGTACTTTTATACAACCACAGAAACAGAAAAGAGAACTTTTAACTTATTTCTCTGAACTCTGTGAGTCCTCGCCTGGAAGCTGCTGCCTCCACAGTGAATGCTGGGACAGGCTATCAATCTTGATAACAGACAAGTCTGCTCTGATGCAGGCTGTTTAAAGATTGAGGGGCGAGAACAAAATCCAGGGACCATGTCCGTTCTCTGGCTTGTGTTTTTGTGAAGGCCTGAGCTGATGATGTTTCACGAGCACACAATAACACACAAGTACACATATATTTAAAGCAGAGGACAATCTCCTTCTCAGATTCATCACATCCTGTCATGATGGGTCTTTTATTTTTTGCCCACATGCAGAAACACAGAGAGATTGTAAAAGTTTGAATGTTTATTTTCAGTAAAAAAAAAAAAGGAATATGGATAACACAGCTTGGTGGGACCTGCGGCCAGGTATCCAGGTGCGACTGCACAGAAGGAGAGAGAGAACAGGTGAGATCAAGGTTGGTGTGAAGTAGATGACTGAATGCTCTCTTCTTGCTTGAACTTGCTGCCAGAATTGGAGGGTGGTATGTGGTTCCAGTTGCGGGGGACTTGGCTGGTTCAAGGTGGATATGACATTGGAGGGCGGACAGATAAGTTTATGGAAGCACAGAGGAGCAGCGGAGGATCTGAAGGCTTAGAGCACGAATGAACTTGAAAAAGTTCAGAGATTTACTCAGCAAAGCTCTAAGGGGCTAGAGTACCCAAAACAGGCAAACACTGGTGAAGAAGTGATGCTACTCACATACTCATCTGAGGTGATGAATGATTTGTTGCAGGTGTGGGTATTTGAGACTTGTAGGCAAGTCCTTCAAGACAGAGTAACCAGATGGCACGGTACGGCAGAGCCGGGACCCCACCCTGGAGCCAGTCCTGGGATTGGGGTTCGTCGGCGAGCACCTGGTGGTCGGGCTCTTCCTCACGGGACCCGGCCGGGCCCAGCCCGAAGGAGCGACGCGAGGCCATCCCCCAGTGGGCCCACCACCTGCAGGGGGAACCATGAGGGACCGGTGCATAGAGGATTGGGCAGCAGCCAGAGGCGGAGACCTCGGCGACCTGATCCATGGGCGCTTAAACTGGCTCTGGGGACGTGGAATGTCACCCTAACTGGCGGGGAAGGAGCCCGAGCTTGTGTGGGAGGTGGAGCGATAGCGGTTAGAAATAGTTGGGCTCGCCTCTACGCACAGTCAGGGCTCTGGAACCGAGCTCCTTGAGAGAGGCTGGACTCTCTTCTACTCTGGAGTGACCCGCGGGGAGAGGCAGAGGGCGGGGGCGGGGCTGCTTGTCTCCCCCCCAGCTCAGCCGTCTTGTGTTGGAGTTCACCCCGGTAGTTGAGAGGGTCGCATCCCTTCGCCTTCAGGTCGAAGGGAGGACTCTGACAGTTGTTTCGGCCTATGGGCCGAAAGGCAGTACAGAGTACGAGGCCTTCTTAGCATCCTTGGGGAGGCTGTTAGAAAGCACCCCTCCCGGGGATTCCATCATTCTACTAGGAGACTTCAACGCCCGTGTGGGAAACGACAGTGAAACCTGGAGTGGCGTGATCAGGAGGAACAGATTGTCACGGATAGTCCATAATGAACATCATGTTCAGGCATAAGGATGTCCATCGATGCACCTGGCACCTGGACAGGACCAGGATTTTCGGCCGCATGTCTTGGACACTCAGGGGAAGAGAGGGGCTGAGCTGTCCACCGACCACCACCTGGTGGTGAGCTGGATACGCTGGAAGAGGAGGAAGCCTGAAAGACTCGGCAGGCCCAAACATGTAGTAAGGGTCTGCTGGGAACGTCTGGTGGAACCCTCGGTGAGGGACGTGTTCAACTCCCACCTCCGGGAGAGCTTCTCTCAGGTTCTGAGGGAGGTTGGAGACATGGAGTCCGAATGGGCTGTGTTCTCTGCCTCTATTGTCGATGTGGCTGCCCGTAGCTGTGGCCGTAAGGTTTGCGGTGCCTGTCGTGGTGGCAATCCCCGAACCCGGTGGTGGACACCGATAGTAAGGGATGCTCTCAAGCTGAAGAAGGAGTCCTATCGAGCTTGACTGGCTTGTGGTACTCCTGAAGCAGCAAGCAGGTACTGTGAGGCCAAGCACGTTGCAGCCCGGGCGGTTGCAGAGGCAAAATCGCGGGCCTGGGAGGAGTTCGGGGAGGCCATGGAAAAAGACTATCGGTTGGCTTTAAAGCGATTCTGGCAAACCGTCCAGCGCCTCCGGAGGGGAAAGCAGTGCTTCGCTAACACTGTTTTCAGTGGGAGTGGGGAGCTGCTGACCTTGAAGGAGGATATTGTCGAGCGGTGGAAGGAATACTTTGAGGATCTCCTCAACCCGACAGACACGACTTCCATGGGGGAAGAAGAGACGGGGTGCTTGGGGCTGGATTCGTTTATCACCCAGGCTGAAGTCACGGAGGTGGTCAAAAAACTCCACGGTGGCAAGGCTTCGGGGGTGGACGAGATCCGTCCTGAGTGTCTTAAAGCTCTGGATGTTGTCGGGCTGTCATGGTTGAC